CAGAGGAAAGCGCAAAAGTGTATCAACAGAATATGCGTGGGGACTTAAAGGCTCAGTCCAGAACACGCCCCGCGGAAGAGCTAATGCTGCGATCGTTGGTCTGGACCTTTCGAAGCCCCGTTCCCGCCTGGATCGACGCTAGCAAGGCACCTCTACCAGAGCCGCCCATGGGAGCAGCCGGGGGCGCAGGTGGCGGGGGAACGCCTGGAGGCGGCACTGGAGGCGCCATGGAGGGAGCCGGAGGCGGCGGGGGCGGTGCCGCAGCACTGGGGCTGGGCACTGCCGGGGCGGGGGCAGGCGGGGGCGGCGGGGGAGGAGGCACAGCAGCGGGGGCAGCGGGGGTTTCAGCTGCCTCAATCGGCGGTGCGGGGGTTGCTGGACTGTCCTGGACGGGAGTAGACGACTTTGAAGGAGTCTTGTCATCCATAGCACTCAGGGGCCGGGGAGGAGCCATGGTGCCGAACAAGATGCTTGCGAGTTGTTTCGCGCTACCACCACCCGGCCGTTCATCGTCATCATCAGAAGAGTCGTCAAACTCCGATCCAGCCGCCGACCAGTCATCATCCGCCTCGGGACGCACTCGAGACTTGCGCTCCAGTGGACCGGGCGCAGTAAAGGCAGGCTTGGAGCTCTCCTGCTGCTGTGCCAGCCGATGGAAAGGGTTGGTCGATTGAGACTCGGCTTTTGGAGCGGCAGGCTGAGGTGCAGGTGGTGGAGGCGGCACCTGGCTGTCGGACTGGCTGATTCTCTTGAAGTAAGGGTTCTTGGACTCAGCTTCTGGGCTAAGACTGGTGGGCGCAGCGTGGCTACTAGCAGACTCAGCAGGACTGGTCACGACTTCTAGCTCTGGAGCTGGAACCGAAGGCGCAGGAGCTGGGGTCGGCACTGCAGTATCTGCGGCAGGAAGAACTTGACTCTGAGTCGGAGTACTGTCCTGCGGCGTGATGTTGATAGGGCCTTCTTCATCCGAGGAACTCTCATCCAAGCCCTCCAGCTCCAATTGAAGCTGACGCTCGCGTTCTTTGGCCATTTCAAGCTCAGCACGCTGGGTGGCGAGTCTCGCTTCCTGTTCTTTGGCCGCACGGGCTGCCTCTTCCTTGCGACGCTTCTCTTCCTGCTTCTTGATCTTCCCTTGTCGGACCTGTTCTTGCAGTGCGGCAAGACGGGCCTCCTGGGCCTCCTTCTCCTTCAGGAATTCTGCTTCGCGTTCTCTGGCGGCAGTCCTGGTAAGAGTTGTTAGTTTGTGTAACGGCATCAACAGTGAATAGTAGGGCTGGCAAGGGTTACATACTCTAGGCGGGCTGTCTCTTCTTCCTGCGCCTGCTGTTCCTCTCTAATAGCTTGTTCCCGTGTAGATTGCTCTATTTTAGCTGCTTCCTCCCTTGCCTTCTTTGCCTCGGCTTGGCCTGCACTGTCAGTCCGACCCTTCCGAGAAGGCGGTGCTGGAGGAGGCTTCTTGCCAGCCGGCTTAGCAGATTGCGCCGTAGGGCCACCCTGCTCTTCGGCCAGACGACGTTGTCGCTCTTGCTCCCGCTTGGCATCTTCTTCTTCTGCTCGCCTCAACCGCTCTTCACGTTCTTTTTTCTCGCGCTCCTGCCGTTGCAGCAGAGTCTCTCCTGCGTCACTGTGGGGCTTGAGCCCTGCAGCAGCCATCCGTTCAGCGATCCGCTTCTGCGCACGCTCCCTAGCAGCCGCAACACGGTCCTCATGCGTAGAGCCAGCTGATACGACTGAGCCGGTAGGCGTCGGGGAATGTTGCGAAGCAGCTGCGCCTCCCAGTGGCGACTCATCGTAGCGGGACCGCTGGTTTTGCGTATCTGCTGCTCTTTGTTGTCTGGCCAATGATTAGTGTATGCCCTCCTGTATGATAAAACTCGAATCTTCCAAGGAGAGAGTGAAGATACTTACTCTTCCTTGCGAACATGCGCGGTGCGGCTGCTACGCTTCAAGTCGTAGATAAAGTCGCGAACCACATCTTCAACACCCAAGGCGTCCTCCCAGCGACGCCGTTCATGCTCACGCGTCGAACTTTCACCACCATCCTTAAGACTGTCTTCCAGACTCCGCGCAAACTCTCTAACACTTTCCTCGACGTCGCGAGTCATGGTCTCGTTTCTCTCCCTTTCAGCTTTAACGGTAGCATTCTCGGCCTCGAGTCGGCGAGTTGCAGCTCCATCGTCGTCCTGGCTGGCGGGAACGGGCCTTCCGGCAAGTTCAGCGGCGCGGGCTTGCATTCTGGCACGGGCACGGGCTTTAATACGATCGGCTTCAGTGACTGTGCCCCCTGGGCCTGTACCCACGATAGAGGATGCACTGTTAGGATGTTCCTTTGCATCCTTCAGGCGGAATAATTCAAGTCTAACCTCCGCGATTTCCCGCTCAACACGCCTTACTTCTGATGCCACTTGCGGGACTTGATCCTCATAGGCCTGCAGCTGACGACGTAGCGACCTCCGTTCGGCCCCGGTATCAAGATTACGGAAGGAAGCATCAGGATGGGTGTCAATATCGTCCTGTACCCGTCGTATCCGGTCCATAAGACTCTCCGCTTCCCTGCGGTCTCGCCGATCTAGAGCATCATCCTCTTCCGCTTGATTTTCGTCTTGGAAATCCACCGCATCCAACATGATCTGGGCTTCACGAATCTTCTTCTTCAGCTGGTCCACGGACAGCTCTTCCTCGGAAGCCTGGGAAGCAGCAGGTGATGGCGTACGGCCATTGTTGCCAACTCGACGACGCGCGCTGGAGCGATACCCAGCAGCCGCCTCGTCGTTATTCTTGAATAGTGTAGCATCTTTCCGACCTACACCCGGAGACACTGCACCACCACGAAAGGAGTGCTCTTTCAGGTAGCTCACACCAGTCTTCTGTGGTTGCAAGAACGCGCCAGACGCCTTTCGGCTCTCTGCATCTTGAGAAAGCATGGACTTAATCGTGCCTATCGAATCGTTCAAATTCCTGGTGGATGGGGGAACAAGCTCCGGGGGCAGACGATTCGGGACTGGGTACCCGTTCAGTTTCCGGTAGATTAGATGCATTGCCACGGCAAACTCATCCATGTTCAGGCGTCCCCTGTTGTTTGGGTCGGCTAGCGTCCAAATGCGTTCCAGATCAGACCGGTTTAGACCACTTTGTCCCATAATTTCGATAGCAGTATCACCTCCGATAAAGCCTTTGCGGAAACCATCCCAGGCTCGAAACAGATCGTCATAAATCTTCTTCTCTTCCTTGGTGATGGCCCAGGGAATATGAGCGTTTCCAGAAAGACCGACTGTAGTGAATCCACCTTCGCGGCCTGGCTGCGGCATCAGTTGCTGCTTGAGAGCTTCTATGTTAGGCAAGCCAGTTGCCGGCGCATTCACGAAGCCCCATTGCCCTGGAATTCCTGTAGGCTGCGCCGCCAGAGCCGATACTCCTCCAGTTTGAGCAGGACTCAAATTTGACCCGAAGCCGGTAGGCATTGGAGGCATTGGAGGACGAGGGCCGCTGTACCCAGTGGGCTGAGGATTGGTCATAAATCCAGTGGCTTGTGGCTGTAATTGCTGGGACTGTCCAGGAAAGCCAGTGGCTTGCGGGGCAAGGGCAGAGTTCTGGCCCGGAAAAGGGGATTGACTTTGTTGGAACCCCGTCGGCTGAGGGAAACCCGTGGGCTGCGCTGTGAGCTGTGTGAGAAGCTGCGCATTACTCGGCTGCTGTGGCTGTGGCTGCTGGGGGGCGGGGGGAGCAGATTTATTCTCTAAGAGAGGTGCATCGAAATTTGGTACATTCGTTCTCACAGCGGGTTCCGGCTGAGTATCAGGGACTTGGAAGGAGATGATGTCCACCATGCTGGAGACTTCGTTCCTGATCTTCTCAGGGAGGGCGCTTGGCAGTTCTCTACCCGTGATTCTCAAGTTGCATAGGTACATAGCCAAGGCAAATTCGGGGAAGAAGAGCTGCCCAGACTTGGTAGAATCCGAGAGCACCCTGTAATAGTTAACACCTTCACTCCGATCTATAGGATGTAACCGGATACACACCAGATCTTGGACAAATCACTCCCATTCAGCTTTGACCGCAGAAGAAGCTCCTTTGCTTTATCACCACTCATTGTCTGATTATCTCCAACCGCAGACTTGAAGAGCTGCTCGAATTTTGCCTGGTCCTGCGCAGTGATGAAGGAGAGCCGAATGTTTGGTATCTTACTGGCAGACGCCTTAGGTGGCGGAGGCGGAGCCATGCCAGCAACATCTTGGAACGAATCCGCTATTTCCGACGAAGTCCGAGGCGCCTGACGAACAGGGAGGCCAGTGCTTGCGGGAACCTGGAACTGCGGAGGCTGCGACTGTGCGGGATAACCGGTGATCTGGGGCTGCTGAACCGGGGGCTGGAAGCCAGTTGGTTGCGATTGTGGTACTGCGCCCGGAAACCCTGTAAACTGAGGTTGGAGCTGACCAGCCGGGAACCCCGTGGCTTGAGGCTGCAGCTGAGAGGCCCCGAAACTGGACATTTGAGGGCCATAGCCAGTCGGCTGAGGCGCAAATCCACCCTGCTGTGGCGGTTGTTGTTGTTGATGTTGGCCAGGGGAAAATTGTTGCGAGTATGGAGACTGCTGCATGAAAGGCTGTCCCGGACGTGCGCTGTTGGCGCCGCCCAGGAAGGTGTTGGATGAAGAGTACATTACCGGAGTAAGGGTTGCATCAAAGATAGGACAAACATCAAAGACAGGCTAACGAAGAAGCAATTAACAATGCCGAGGAAGCAGAAAATCAAGCTGATGGCACACAATGAGAAAGAGGAGAAGCATAGAAAGTGGCCAGGCAACGACGGAGAGGGGGGGGAATCAGGAGCATCCATCCGATCAGGAGCAGTGACGCTGTCCCCAGTTACGTAATCAGGGACGCCCGCCGATGAGGGAGTCCGCGGAGCGGCGCACTAAGCTCCATCGGGTAGCTATCACGATGAGTCCAGAAGCTATCTACACTATCTACGCTACCCCAATGGGCCTACCAGACGGTTCTCTTCGATTTATCAGTCCTAATTTTACAAGAAATGGGAACGAGACAGACGGGGGGATGAGTTGAATAATTAACGGCTACGGCAGCAATTGACATTTTGTCTCGAGGCAGGTTGGAGCGAAAGGCTTGGTCCGACTAATCACTGGAAGCAAAGAGAACAAACATAGAATAAAGGGTATGACCAAGAAACAAAGACACGCATGACCAGCTGCGTATATCCGAAGCGAAAGCGGGTATGTGACCGCTGACCCAGCTCTTCATGCTCTATCTCCACCTGTCGATGGCTAAACACCATCCTGGACGCCATTCTGCTGCTGAGCGGTAGCCCCCACCATCTTACGGAGCTCATATTCCTTGGTAAATTCCCGGGAGAGAATACCCAGGTCCCGAACGAGCTCATGGCAGGCTGCGATTACCGCATCCTTGGGGGAGACATCGCCATCGGTCTGAACTCGAAGCTGGAAATTGGGAACAAGCGGATGGGGAACCTGTGACAGTCACGTCAGCCCTGACGCATACTAACTCAATAGATCTAAGAAAAGCAACAACTAGGAGCTTAAAGAGTGCCCGGAACTAGAGGCGAGTATATATCACCATCGCAGACATACCTTGTACGCAGCGAAGAGAACATGGGAGCTTTGCAAGAGGCGAGAGCGGATCAAATTCCCCAATGTGTGATCTTCCTTGTTGAAGGTGAAGATCGCAGACGAAGGGATGCCTGGCATGAGAAGCCCATGTTAGCAATGAACGCAAGCCGTTTAGGTCCGAGGTTAAGATGACATACGAGTATCGATCTCCATCTCAACTTTGTTCTCGCCATTCGCAAGAACGAACGACTCGTATCTAGGTTTCATACTGCGTCAGTGGACTGGACGTAACGGACACTTCAAAAATGAAGGAAGTAGAATCATCAAATAAAACCCGAAGCGGACCTCGGCTGCTGGTCATGAGAAACGTTGATGGTGGACTGGCAGCGGACGCGAGATCCACCACTGCCATTCTTTAGGCGCGCATACACCATTTCCGCAGGCATGATGGACTCCATTCTGAAGATGGATGTGTCCGGGAAAGATTCGTATATGACAGAAATGCTCAAGGGTGAAGACAACGCAAAGCACGAGATCGATCCATTCAATAATAAATCTGAACAAAGGGGCATAAACATTGAAATGAACTGGGGCAAAAAGAGAGGGGCACGAGTAGAATCCAGAACATAGTCCGGCACCCTGGGGCAGTGAATCGAGCGGGAAGGCAAGAGCATGTGCCCGGTTGATAGCTCCGTCCACAATGAAACTTCACTGTCACACCATTCGCTCCATTTAACAGCTCCTGGGCCTAGAACAAGCCAAAAGAGAAGGGAAAGCCAAGTGAAATAGAACATGCTACAAGACAGATTGCGTATATGTAAAAAGAACGTTCCACCTACCGGTCTGGTGCGTTCATTTTGTAGTCTTGGTTATATCCAAAGGTGCGTATACCAAAAAAATAGTGAAATAGCTGGAAGGGATATTGAATGACTCGTGTTTTTATTAGGCCTGTAAGTGAATGGCCACCAAGAAAGACGAGCAGAGTGCTGCAGAGGTGGAGCAGGGAATGAATCGGTGTATCCAAATAGATCTGAATACAACTTAGTGTGCAACTTCTAGCCTTTCACGTTGGCTTTGCCACTGTTTCCCTTGCTCAGTTGGACCTTTAAATTGAGTTAGTTGTCTGACCAACACGCGATGAGTATGATATTTATTTAAATCACCTGATGGGGTAATTATGTATATATATGACTGGAAACTCCCGCCGTACTGTTGGGAAAATGATGCTGCAATGCTGGGATTGCAGAGTGGCTGGTCATGACAAGCTCCAATAAGGTTGAAATCCCGTGATGTTGATCACGTGATGTGCATTGTCCGAGTGGGCCAAGTGGACTGTGCTTGGTTACTAAGCTACTTTCACGCTGCACGACTTTTGACTCTAGCTGCTGCGCTGGATCTTGGGGTAAACTACGCAGTTATATAATATTTGAGCTAATGCTTCCCATCCGCGTATGGGGAATTCGGTCAGGTTATTTATTATATAGATATCAGCCACAGATATCGACTTTCTCAACCATAGATTGTAATGTTAATCGGCTACTACACATTGAGTATACAAGACAGAAAATGCATGCACAACTTGCTAAAGCAATCCAATTACAACCCTCATTGGGTTGGAAATCATCAATCCGTAAAAACGCCTGTCATGATCCCGCACCCTGCTTTAATAGTGATTAAGAAACTGGGAGATCAGGGAGAGAAGACCCCTCGTATAAACGTAGAGAAAGATCAGGTCATGTCCAAGAAGGTAAAACAATATAGAAAAGAACGGGAGGGAAAGTAGAGGGAAACGCAAGAGGTGAACACGCCAACAATAATAGGAAATAGCTGGAAAAACAATATTCACTGCTCACAAATGCACAAAGTGAGGTATAACTCCTTCAGGTCCTTATAAAGAGCACGGGACTTCGATGGCAAAAGCACAGCCAAGCAAAAATAAGCGAAAGCATAACATGCACAGGACATGATACCCCTGCTGTGAGGGCAAACAATGTCAATTGACAGCCTGTCTAATGCACAGCATTCAACAGATCTCCAAAGCTCGACGTTTCTTTCTTCATCTTCCAGTTGTTGCGTTTATTTTCTCGTTTCTTCATCATTTCGGCCCAGCCTTCATCATCGTCCTCGTCATCCTGCTCCGCACCAGTACTCGGCTTGCTAGCCCTTATCGGTTTGCTATCACTTGGCATGGGACGGTGGCTCATATGAGACGCCTGTGGCGCCGGAACTGCGGCTGAAAGCGAGGACTTCCGGTTTTCATCATTCCAGGACTTTGGTATGGAAGAAGAGCCGATATTTCCTAACTCGGGTTGCAATGTTGAGACGGGTCTGTAACGAGGCGCCAGACCAACATTACTGCGTTCCGATGGTGCAATAGACGGCGCATACCCTTGCCCAGCCGGCGTGCTTGGCCGGAGGCCCCCAGATACATGTGGCATAGCTGCACTATTGAGACGGGAGGAAACATTCGGATCAAGCATGCTTAGCGTCCGCTGATCGCCCGAGTACCCAGCATGGGCGTTATTCATATTGCCAGCTGAGGGCATTGAAGATGGGCGCGCATTCAGGTTGGCACCTAGCGTGGGTGGAGGCCCGCCAGGTGGCATTAATTGGGTGCTCTGTCCGCCTTGCATGTGAATCATCTGCTGCATCCATTGCATTTGCATTTGCACCATTTGCGTCATCTGCTGAGACAATTCTATCTGCGCCTGTTCAGTCGCAGAAATCGCCGGCTGACCGCCACCGGTATTCGGCGAGCTTAGACTCATCATCGTGTAAGGCCTCGGGATGCCACCAGGTTGAACAGGTGGCACAGGCATTCCTCCTTGATAGTCGTACATGGCTTGGGTATTAGGGCTACCTCGCCGCATTGCCCTTGCTCGCTCCTCCGTGGCAATGACACCTACTAAGCCTCCAGGGGGTAGCGCTGGCGAAGGTCCACCATGGACCGATGCTCCTCCTCCAAAGGCCAGAGACTCTCTGTTAGATTGATTCACCAAACTGGCTCCAAAGTAAGGGTCTCGCGGCAAGTTTCGCGCGAAAACAGGCAAGCTCCCGCGATTGTTTGGATCCCGTTCTGCGACGGAAGCAGGGGACGGGGAAGGCAAGTACGGTTGCTGGAAAGACGCCCGAAGGTTAGGAATGGAGCTAGATGGTGCCAGACGGCTTGGGGGGCGATTCCTGTTGGGGAATCCATGAGCTGCCAGAATGCCCAAAGGAATCTCTTCGTCATCATCACCATCACTGCTTTTCCCGCTCCCCGAGGTAATTCCAGGTTGCAATAGATTCGGCGCACTCTTACTAGCCTGGTCCATTTCGGTTCTCATAGCTGGTGTAGGAGATTCCTGACCGGTCACCTTCATCATTTGCTGGCGATACACTGAAAGATGGGCTTCTTGCTTGCGCCGCTGTCTCTCGGCCTCACGGTCTTTCTCCACCTCATCATCGTCATCGTAATCGCTCTCTGCAGAATTCTCACTCTTCGAGGCGTCGCTGTTCGACCGTCTGAGCTCTTGCTGCTGACGATAATGTTCGAACTGAGATGGGGTCATGACTTTATTCGTTGAAGAGACCGACACTGGCTGTGCTTTCTCGTATTGTGCAGCCAAACGGGCATGGGCTGCAATTGACGGATCCAGGTGATCTGACAGCACGGGGGAGCTCAATGAGTCCTTCTGAATGGATTCCCGGCGATCAGGACGAGAAGATTTTGCCCCAGGCTGGTCGAATAACGGCCCATCATTATCCGCATCCGAAGCCGCGTGATCAGCCATGAATGGTATTTGCGAGCTCCTTTTAGAGTAGAGAGATTCCATGATTAATTTCGCGTCCTCGTCTTCAACAGGTACAGAGTCCCGCCTGTTAGAGTAAACCCCGCTTCTCCTCAAACCCGCGTCCGCCGTCGTTCGAGGCTTTGCCAAAGAACGATGGGAGGTAGTAGCCAAAGGCATAGTACCGGACAGAGGCATAGATTTGCGCCGGTCTCCAACGGAGACTGGATCGAAATTGCGTTGATATGATTGTGTTGTCGATTGTTCGTTGGGTGAATCAAGGGTGGTTAGCAGGCCCTCCTCCGAATGTCGGCTATCCCAAGAATATGGTGATGGCTCAACCTCCCTTGAACGGTCAGTATCAATTGGAGCAGGACGTGAGATCCTCTCATCCTTTCGAGGCAAGGCATCTGGTCGACTGGAAGGTCCGGGTGAGTCCTACAGTAAAAGTTTAGCGTTGTGCTGCATTACTTCATGGGATTGGAAATGCAACAAGAAAGGCTTGAAAACGAGATACTGGATACAGAAAAGGAAATTCCATCTTACCAAGTCTACTGGTTGATCAAGAGAAGAGTCCTTCGACCCATAATAACGCTTTCCAATATCACCAAACATATTTTGGAAGTCGTCGTCAATTTTTCCAATTCGAAGTTCTGTATCGGGAAGCTTTGGTGGTGTTGCAGTGCTTGACGTGCTTGTTGTCATTCCCCTGCTTCTAGAAGGGCCCGGTGTAGATGGCTGAGGCGGAGGTACCGGCGCAGATGTCTTGGAGAATCTCCCGCCGAATGAGAATGTGCGACCAGCTGCGCGAATCGCACCTGATAGGGGAGGAATTGGTATATCGTAGAGGTTTCGAGTGTGTGGCGACTGCGATTCGGGCTGTGGCCCGTCTGTTGAACGGCGTGCAGATGTGCGAGGTCGCGCAGATGATGTACCTTCGAATGTACTTCCACCACCACTCCAGGTCAGCTCAGCCACTTCTTACCGGGAAGGGGGAAAGGGGTAGGAACTCATCGGACGAAAGAGGGGTCTCATACTGATGTCTTGTTGGCTGGGAATTATGCAAAGCAAAGATGTTATTGTCATCCTCCGTGGGGGAATCCAAAGGTTGACCTTCGCTTAAGCGCTTTGCCACTAAATTACCATCACTCAAGGACTTTTTGTCGCCGGATGGTCGTTCAAAGACTCGAAATGACGACTGGGGAGGATTTTGCACTTCCTCTAGAGCATTGCTAGACGATTTTCGACGGGCGAAGCCCTTAGGAAGCTTGATTGGCATTGGGCTGAAACCAAGGCGACCACTAGTGACGCCGGAACCACTTTCAGAGAAATTGAGGGCGCAGCCAGCGGCTCCAAAGTCCACGAAAGTCCCAACCCCTTCTCGGCTGCTTTACTCGATTCCCATGAACCGGGATTCCGCGACGGGTGGAGGGAGGGGAGGGGTTATGGGCTTGGGAAGATTCTGGGCCTGTCCAATCCAGCACGGATTTCGATCGTAGCGGGGCTTCTGGTCAAGAGATTGCCGGGAAATGAAGTGAATGACGTGAATGGGCGAAAATAGCGTCCAGAAAATCTTGTGGTGGATAAGGATGCTTTGAGCTCACTCAGGGGGGGGGTAGTCGGTCACAGGAGAAGATCGAGAGAATAGGCGAGGTGGCCTGAGAGAAGGTTTCTGATACACCGTATAATCGATCAAGAGCAGCCAGGACCCTCTGATTCACATGCGGCCAGCGGGGCTTAGAGACTAGCAATTATGATAAATTAAGAAGGGCCATAGGTACGCATCGGTGTGGATTCCGGTCGTTGTTGGCGAGGATGGGGACCTCTCCTCCGATCGGTTTTAGAAGGGTAAATAAAACAAACCCACCCGGGAGACCAGAAGGGGGGCGGCGGGCGTGTGGATGATGGATAAGTTTGCGATGACAAAGGCGAATTTTCTCTTGTAAGAAATGCCAAACAGAACCCGCAACAAGAGTACAGTAGGGACAAAAAAGAAAGTAAGAGACAAGAAAAGGAAATAGGAAGAAGAAGCAGGAGAAAAAAATAAAATCAGTTAATAATAATAATGATAATAATAATAATAAGACACAACGACAACAAGGAACAAAAGGGAATCAGGGGAAAAATCCAATAGTAGTGGGCAGAATCAGAACACCCAGTTGACGACTCGGAAGGGAAAAGGGGGGCGGGGGAAGATGGAAAGGAAAAGGGCGCAGATCAGTCGGTATTTTAGTGAGTTTGAGAAAAACTAATGGGAAGGAAAGGGAAGAAAAAAAGAGACTACGCCGGACTAATTCAGGTTATCTACTTTTTGTTATGGACATACTAAAAGTAAGCCTGATGCAAATTTGGCGTAAATAATGATCATACTACTACTCCGTACTATTAGTGAATGAATAGTACTTCGTAATGGTAACAGTAATGGTAATAACCATAACCCATAATTATAGCAGCGGTAGCAGCCGCTTGAATAAAGAAGCCCAGATGTTTCATGGGGAATAGACTGAGAAGTCCTATCTCTCTACAGGATTATGGAGTAGAAGGTTGGTTAGCTGAAGAGGAATAGAAACAAGCGGCATCCACCCAAGGACCAACCGCTCATCCAGTTTCAAGACATCTCCCACTCTCTGTCTCTCTCTCTCACTTTCAGTCTCACATTATTATTCTCTCAGCAGTCAGCACTCAGCAGACCCTGGAGGGTGGGTGGATGTGGAGGGTGGAGCCCGGCGCGCTAGTCCGGCGGCGAGCAACGCCAAATATAGTATCTCTGACTCTGGCTCTGAGTCTTCCGAGCTCTGAGCGGTTAGTGAGTGAGCAATGCCAGCCAAATCTCAGTCGGCACCGCCGATTTGGTTGGTCAGACCATCCCAGATTGAAAACCTTTCCCTTGGTTCTAAGACTAATTATAAACACCCTATCTATCTACGACCTAACTTACATAGTAACTTATGGATGACTACTAATAATATTTGCCGCCCGGGTAGCTGACAACCCTGTCTGGTATCAATCTAGACCCAACAGTTACTAGTCACTTACTTAATGTGTGTTTCTTTGCACTTTAACCAACCACCCTGGTGCAGGAGAAGATGCTTGAAAGGAAACCGGAAATGTACATTTAACTTTGTTCTCTCGAGTATGTCTGTTCGCATCTCCGAAAAAAAGCAGGAAGAAGGAAAAACAAGAGAAATCAATGAAAGGTGGGGAGGGAGGGGGGTTGGTACCAGGCCTAGAACTGGCCGAGGTAGATAAATTGATAGGGACACGGTCCGTTCCAAGGCATTCCACCATTCCACCGCCGTCAACTGTCATGTAAGGGGGCCAACGACTAACCACCGCCATCCGACGTACCACCTGATGGCTAAGGCATTCCTTTCTCGAAGTAGCGAAGTAGATAGATAGCTCTTTCCTCTTACCGCCGCCCACTTATAGGTATCCCATTCCATCCACACTTTTCAATTCTTCTTGTTCGGCGGCCCACAGCTAACCTATCGGACTTAGGTAGTGGTGCTACTTAATCATGATAAATGTACCTGCCATATTGAACATTTCTCGTTAGTCAGTTTCGACGTTCGGAAGATGATCACTTTACCAGGTATCTATCTAGTCGCCCACAGTCAGCATTACTATATAGATGCTACGCGATCACGCTGGACTATTGGACGGTAACTACTTGCGGAGTATTCTCTATGTAATGGGATTATCCACTCTATGTTGATATACTAGTACAGTAGTTATGTTGTCCCACTATTAGTCGTGTGTAATCAATGACTTCAGTCATAATACTACAATATGGATTACATTGTCATGTCCCTCAGCGTCACTCGATACACATCCCCCGTGACTCAAAGCATATAGTATGAATTGTACTATCATTTTCATAACACACTTCCTTATATCTAGACAACTACCAATTCGGGATTTCGTACTCTAGAGTCTTGACCTCGCTAGACTAACCAGGATACTTAATTGTTCATGATCTCCGGCCGCATTGTGGATTGGCAAGTCTGCGAGGCTGTACTATCTAGTACCCTTTAACCATATGTAAATCCTTCCAGCCGATTCCATCTTAAGTTGTCATTGTCGACGGTTCATTGTTAATCGCCCCTGCTTTTCAGTACATTAAAGACGCAACCAACCACTTGCATGTCATGGTGAAGTTTATTCCCCATTCAAAGAAGCTTTTCCGAAACATGGGCCGGAATTAATTCGCACATACAGCTCGTTATGCCCGTTCCATTGAGATGCTCAGTCTCGGCAGACCGAAAACAACAGGTATATTTCACCCTATTAAGTAGTAACTTAGCAAACAAAGACTGAAAAGGATGATGTAAACGGCATTCGTCAATACCAGGGCATATGAGCTGTTCATCATTCGAGCAACCAGGGGCGAGGGGTATAGATCACGCAGAGCTTTCAAGCTTATCTAGTAGTGATGGCCCTGAAGTACAATGGGGTCTTGGGCCCTCAATCCGCCAATCAGAGCAACTCCGGCCGGAACCTGAGCATCTCGCAGGTTGAAACAGGCAAAAGCAACCAATTTCTGGAGTTTAGGACAGCACTGAAAGATCAAACCAACAACATAGTCATCGACGACTGTATGAAAGGACACGTCTAGTTCCTCGAGATTGGGGTACGTCTTCCCGGCCGCAAAAACTTCTTCAAAAGCAGAGCGGGACACGTGGCGGCAGGATGCGATATTTAACTTCTGTAGCCCGGGCCCTGAATGGTTCATAAGAGCCATGAAACCTTGGGATGCAAGGCCAATCGCATCCGCAGGTCCATCAGGATTCGAATTGTCAACATCTCTCGTAGATGAAAGGTCCACAAATTCCAGCGGTGGGTTGCTCCAGTGAGTGAAGAGAGCGACGAAGCCTCTGTCACTACACACTGCGTTGTCAGAAAAGCGAAACTTCGTCAAGGCGCGGCAATTGACATGTATAATATCTAGGAGACGGTCATCTGCGGTAGATATCCCCTCCAAGGACAACGTCCGCAAACGTGGGCTGGTCTTTGAAAGTGTGTTGAGAAGAATCTCGTTATCCACTTCCTGAACAAAGTTCAAAGACAAGTGCTGTAAAGATACCAGTTCGGAAATGGCTCGGAGAGAGCGATTGCCCATTTTCCAGCACTGCTTCAATTTCAAACGTTGAAGCGCTGTGCACTCCCTGCACATCACTTCCACTGTTTCATCGTCAAAGGAGGAATCGAGATTGGATAACTTAAGAGATTCCAATTGGGGCCCCAGTTTCCGAAACAGCTGCTGCCAACATGCATCTGATATCAAATTTGCGGCATCTAGCTGCAAGCGCTTGATCTTCAAATCGCGATCCAAAAGGTAATCAACTACCTTATCTTTCATTTGACTGGCAAAGCGAAAGTTCACGTGATATAGATTAGGCATGAAAGCGAAGATCTTTTCGAAGTCCTGTGTTTCAAGCTCTGTTGCAATTAGCACACTCATACCTTGAGTCATTGGCGTAAAGTAGGATTGAAACGAGCAGGATATCAAAATTGGCGGGATGACGAAAAAATACTAGACAAAGCTAGTAGAATTTAAGGGGAGGGAGGAGGAAGAAAGAAGTAAAAGCCAGAACGTACTTGCAGCATCATAGATATCAATGAAATTAAGATCCGACCGAAGAAACAAATTAAGAGTTCTTGAAGTCAAGACACGCCTCTTGCACAATATCTGACCGAGACGATGAAGCAATTGCGGGGGCAAATCTCCAAACTCTTCGATATCGTTAATGTTGTCAGCTACTTTCTATTGTAGCCGGAGGTTAGCAAGAAGTCATGTTTCTGAACAAGCCCTGACGTACCTTCGTACACATCTCCGCTAGGCTTGGAGCGCCCGGTTGAGCAAACCCATCGAGCAGATTACTTTGCTTCTGGCGACGACCACTTCTTGGGCCCCGCCTATTAGCTCTGGGTTTCTTCTCATCATCCGCTAGCTCCTTCGAACATTTCGCGCAAAGGAGGCCTCCACGGGGACCAGCTTTACTGTAAGGGGTTACTGTAAAGCGTTTGCCACATATCTCACAGTTTTCTAGCTGAAATGCAAAGGGCTGAGAATTCTCGCACATCATCTCTCGGGCGATATCATCATCGTTATCAGATTCGCCTGTGCCTTGAGCCTTACGACGAGCGAATTCTTTGCTCTTCTTTATCTTCGCGAGAGCGACAGCTTCTTTTCTTTTCCGCTTTTTCTTGTCTGCTGCCGACTCATCGACATTGTGGTATTCATCGTCATCATCATCATCATCAACATTGACATGATCAGTTTCTTGTCGTTCAACAGCTGTCTGGCGCTCAAATTGCCTTAACCGTGTCAAGTGATCTTGCTGAATTTGAGCGGCAGATATGTTGTTCGACTGAAGATTATCAGATATTCATCAGTGGGGGGCTCCAGGAGAATTCGCATATGATCGGGGGAAAAGCGGAAGCCGGAACAAACAGAAACAGTTTACTTACAGCCAGAAAATCGGTCAGAGCAGAGTGCCTAAGTAGTAGTGACTTTTAGTAAAGGCTGTGGGTGATGACAGGAGAAAGGTAAGAATCTATTGAGAACATACGGGCCCCGAATCTGATTCCTCGTTTGCCTTCTGTTTGCCCTGATATACTGTTGTCAATGACCAAAATATATATCTTCAACACTAAATCGGATACGAACATTTTTCTTCAAGCCGAATACAATATTGAATCGTGTAGATGAATATAGTTGATAAAGTGATTCTTTTTCCTGGAAGGGCTTCAAGGTGGCGACACTTGCAGGTCACAGGAACCCGTGGTGATTTCGCGTTCCACTTAACGCGAGAGTCGACGGGCGGGCTTATCGGCTTCGTGTTCGGCCAAGGGGGAAAGATAACAATTAAATGTGAAGGCAGACTGAGGCCAGGCAACAGTCAGCAAAACGATGATTTGGTGCCTAAAGTTGCTCCATCGAATGGCTAGATCGATGCAGTGAAACCTTTTTTTGGGAAGAAAGAAAAAATTTTCCCTCGCCCCAAAGTCCCATCATCCTGGCGCTTTATTCCGATAACCGCGGCCAAGGTACGGAGTACACAACCTCCCCTAGCTATCCATCCCCGGGTGGCGTTGCTTCAGCCGTTTGCCTCACTTTTCGTCAGAGACATCTGTGACAGCCATCAAACAATCTCCAGTCCTTAGTTATCAGCTTTCACGAACATTCGATCACTTGGTTCACAGGAATGAGTCGGAAATCATCAACTACAGGGAGGGGAATGACCCCACTAGCTGGTGAGGTCTCTTTGTCGGATTACCCTCTTGTCTACTTCAACTCCGAAGGAGCAACGACGCCAGAAGGAGATATTCGCATACCTCAAATCAAAAAGAAACGATTGCAAGTCAATCGGACTTTTATTAGCAGTAACTGACATTTTTGGGCACAAATCAGATACCTCGTCCGTACCTAGACGAACCTCTGCGAGACTGGCTAGAGCATCCTCAGCAGCTTATACTGGGAACTCGAACAATTCAGAAAATGGAGGTAATTCCATAGGCCGGAAGCCCGCGGTGGAAGGGGCGATGTCTTCTGGAGATAGACCATACTCTATCGAAGTTGCAATACCTCTGAGGAGATATCCGGTCTCATCTTCATCTGCTTCTCCCCTTCCAACCGAAGATATATCCGGCGATGAAGACATAACGCCTGCATACAGTACACCCGCAACTAGTATGGCAGTCACGCCTGTGGAATCAGATGCAAGCCGACCGAGGAAGAGGGTCAGCGCCTCTACACGTGCCCAGGAATTACGATCGAGTGCTATGTCTTTACATACACCGCCAGGGTCTAAGAGGTCTTCAGCGGCACTTTCTATAAGCCATCCTACGTTGCAAGATTCTGATGCAGTATTGGCTCAGCATCTTCAAGCTCAAGAATATCAAGAACCACCTTTCAAGTTACGAAGGACCTCGAGACGGCTTCACTCCAGAATGGAAGACTCGACCGAAGAAGATAGTGTCCTTGTCGATCCTGATCGCGATGCATATGAGGATTTATCCAGGGGACCGACCCCTTCGCGCGGGGTAAGGAGATCTCTTCGATCAGTTAACAAGAGTAGCCTCCGCCAGATATCCACTACTGATGTGGGCGATGGCGAATCAAGCGACGATCCTCTGACTGACATTGAATCGGTCTCTTCTGCATCTTCCTCGGATGAGGATGAAGTTCTAGTCTCACCAAGGCGCTCCAGGATCGGAAATATGCGTAATGCTAGAGGACGAGCCGCCACACGAGGGGTTTCACGCAGAGCGGGCAGAAATCCTCGCTCAGAGCCAGCAGAGACAGGAAGGAGGGGGTCCCGTGTATGTTTCTCATTTGAGCTATCTTTGGAATTTTGTCTGACAAAGCACGCAGGCTCTCAAGGAAAGACTAAAACTTGAAAGGCAGCATCCATGCGTCACTACAATGTGGGATGATTTGAGGAACACTCCACCGATGAAGCCGGTAATGGCGGAACAACCTCCGGGTATATCGAGAGCACTCAAGCCATTCCAGCTTGAAGGTCTGAGCTGGATGATGCAACAAGAAGAATCACATTACAAGGGAGGGTTATTGGGAGACGAAATGGGCATGGGAAAGACAATCCAGGCCGTTTCCCTTCTTATGTCTGATTACCCGGCTGGTAGGCCATCGCTTGTCGTTGTTCCTCCAGTTGCTTTGATGCAATGGCGATCAGAGATTAAAGTATGTCTGATGAAACTCTGGGATCGAAGTATCGCTAATGCATTGGACTAGGAATATACGAATGGTCAATTGAATGTCCTCATCTACCACAATTCGAACCCGAAGGTCAAAACCCTCTCAAAGCAGGATCTTCTGGCCTATGATGTGATAATGATTTCTTGTGCGGTGACCATAAAGAAATGAGTCGAGGACACTAAGAACTGACGCGACATACTCTCTTTAGATTCTGGTCTCGAATCAATTCACCGCAAAGAACTGAAAGGGTGGAATCGCGATGATGGAATCATCCAGGAGAACAGTAAGAACTCCCGTTGATGACCCAGAAGATAGCGTATATTAACCAGGAAAGGCGTCATTCATTCTATTCATTATCATCGCTTGATCCTGGATGAAGCGCATAGCATTAAGGTATAGTTGGTCTTTCTTTTATGATGCCATATTATCAAACACTGACGGCTTACGTCTGTAGCAACGTACAACTAGTGTCGCCCGTGCATGCTTCGCACTGAAAGCAAACTACAAATGGTGTCTGTCGGGCACTCCTGTCCAAAATCGGATTGGAGAGTTTTTTTCTCTCCTTCGCTTTCTGGATGTCCGGCCGTTTGCCTGCTACTTTTGCAAGCAGTGCCAGTGCCAGCAGCTTCACTGGTCACAGGATGCAGCCAAAAAATGCACTGACTGCGGGCATAGGTACGGTCCTTCATCAGCACCTACAATGATCAAGTAGCTAATGTCATTCTCAATATAGTGGGTTCAGCCATGTCTCAATCTTCAACCAGGAAATTTTGAATCCTAGTAAGTTGTGTATCAATGTACGCTGAGACATCACTAACTCCCCGGAAGTCACTGAGAGGGATAATCCGGAAGGACGCAAGGAGGCATTGTCGAAGCTTCGCCTCATAACTGATAGGATCATGCTGCGGCGAATAAAAAGAGATCATACAGCTTCGATGGAGCTTCCACCAAAGCGGTTTGTAACCTCTTGGCACAGGTGTACTGAGAGAAGTACTAACGTTATACCAGTGTCATTCTCCATAACGAATTCTTTGGAGAGATTGAACGTGATTTCTCTCGGAGCATCATGACTAACACGACGAGGCAATTTGATACGTATGTAAGCCGTGGTGTCATGTTGAACAATTACGCAAATATCTTCGGCCTTATCATGCAGATGCGCCAGGTTGCGAATCACCCAGACCTCATTTTGAAGAAACACGCAGAAACCGGGCAAAACGTACTTGTCTGCTGCATTTGCGACGAACCGGCGGAAGAAGCAATTCGTTCCCGTTGCCATCATGAGTTTTGCCGCAGATGCGCCAAAGACTATGTTAGGTCGTTCGATGTGGGCTCAATCGTCGATTGCCCTCGGTGCCACATCCCTTTGTCGATCGATTTCGAACAGCCTGACATCGAGCAAGAGGAAGAGTGCATCAAGCAAAATTCCATCATCAATCGGATCCGCATGGAGGACTGGACATCGTCAACCAAGATTGAGATGCTTGTTTACGAGCTTTATAAACTGAGAAGCAAGAAGCAGACACTGAAGTCAATTGTCTTCTCCCAATTCACCTCGATGTTGCAACTTGTGGAATGGCGTCTACGTCGAGCTGGTTTCAACACCGTCATGCTCGATGGAACTATGACACCGGCACAACGCCAAAATTCTATCGAATACTTTATGAACAATGTCGATGTCGAAGTGTTTCTAGTTTCCCTCAAGGCCGGCGGTGTGGCTTTGAATTTAACCGAGGCCTCGAGAGTTTTTATCGTTGACCCGTAAGTGGCATTGACTACCAACGCGAACGAATGTCTATCCAACTAACTTTACTGGTGCTAGGTGGTGGAACCCAGCTGCAGAATGGCAGAGTGCAGACCGATGTCATCGCATCGGCCAGCGCCGACCTTGTGTCATAACTCGATTGTGCATTGAAGATTCGGTAGAATCTCGAATAGTTATGCTACAAGAGAAGAAGGCCAACATGATCAACGGTACCATTAACAAAGATCAAGGAGAGAAACTAGAGAAGCTTACCCCAGAAGACATGCAATTTTTGTTTAGAGGATCTTAGGCTTGGTCAGGCAGGGGAAGGGAAGAGTAAAGAGGGGGAACGAGTGTTTAGAGATAGACATAGGTCAGAAAATCAGTCAAGAGAACAGCGGATTAAGTGAAGGGCAGTAACTATCTAGAATAGTATTAGGGGGGGTGGGGGAGGGATTTTTTGTGATTTCGCTGGTACATAACGATGTACGGCGTTCTTGATGGTGGGAGAGCAGGTACAATTCGGACACGGTGGATCAAAGGATCTCACATCTACGTAGTACATGAAGTCTACGTATGCTCTGGGGCCTCGGTACATACTACTCTACGCAGTTAAATAAAAAGTAAAGAAAAAAAAAAACCATAAACGATCAGGAGAGGTTTTTTTTTTTAGTAAGAGATTTTAACTTCGGGAGCCCCCTGGGGGTCAACCAAACAATCTCTTCTGCAGGGCATTTTGCCTTAATTCTCCGTGGTCATTCATTCTATTCTAAGTACTACCTCCGTACCACACTTCTTACTTCCCCATCATCCTGGTTGGTACTTTTCGTGTCTCCTCTTACGTACCTCCCTTGCACAGATAGCCCTGTAGGGCGCTGAGAATGATGTCAGACACACCACTAAAGTGCCTCTGATGATGGGAGGAAGATCTCCAACCTGCTTTTCTTCGTTCCCCCGAATGCGATCTTCTCCTTCCTAATCTCTATCTGCCCTATCCGTCGGGGTCCGCGTGTTCCGCCATCGTCATAGCCGCCCTCCGGCCAAAGTTACTAAACTGCCTTAGCCTTGCAAGGCTTGCGTAGATTCATCATTTCCAATCTCCATCCCGTGGGGTTAAGGGGGAAAGGCCAAGAACCATTGGATCTCTCACTCTTCCCCATTTATCAGCCCGGGATGTGTGGATCGCAATTTCTATCACTTGGGCTCTCCATTATCACTGACATCAATAGGGGGATTTCAATCTAAACCTGCCGATCGTCTGATATCCGTCCTAGTTATTTACTTTTGGACACTACGCGACGAACATCCCCATCCCGTCCGCTACTCGCAAAACCTCGCACAGGCAACAACCATAGTGACTACTTAGGAGCGACAACGACCGCCCACCATCATCGCCACCACTCTTGGCCCCCAAATCATGGAAGACCCCCAACCGCGAACCCGGCGACGGCATCCAGTCGATAAATATGGCCCAAAATTCTATGACAAGTCCGAGCACATGCAGGGTCGGGCTGCCGCTATGAAGGCTGCTCTGAGTGGTGACCACCCGTCTCAGTCAGAGCCTGCTGGGGGGTTCGATAGCACTCCATACCCCTATGCACCACCGGGCTATACACTGAAGTTCACCTTCCATCGTGGAGTCAACCTTCCCTGCGCAGACTTTGGTACATTTTCTTCCGACCCTTATGTTCTCGCTCAGTTGATCGTCGACCTACCCCAACGCCACAAGCAGGACCCCGTTATGTCCTTCCGGACTCCAACTGTGCGCAAGAATCGCGATCCAGAATGGAATAGCGAATGGATCGTTGCCAATGTCCCTGCGTCGGGTTTCCATCTGAAATGTCATGTGTACGATGAAGACGCTGCGGACCATGACGACAAACTCGGTAACGCTTATATCGACGTGGATTCGGTCAATGGACAATGGCCCGGCATAAAGGAGCAGAACCTTCGCCTGAAGAAGCGCATGGGCAGCAAACGGGTCTACTTGTTCGGCAACATTGCTGCGCTGGCGTCGCGACGTCTGGATGTGCAGTCGCATATTGTAATCAGCGTGCAGTGCTTAGGGAAAACACCGGGAGATGAAGGGGCTCATATGTATACCGTTGGACCAAATTACTGGTTCAAGCATTTTTCTCCCCTCATCGGGAGGATAGCGGGCACTAAAGATGAAGTCCAAAGCCATCGTGATGAGAAGAAAACCATTACTCGATATAAGTTCGTCCCTCCCCCTGCCCTAAACCCTTTGAAGAAAATGATACGCTTACAGTCTCTCTGTTCAGTTTTCAGGCAATCCAAATACAGCTCAAGGGCCCTGTGCCTACGCCGCTCTATCACCGTTACGTTGAGTTTAAGCCGTTTGTAGCCGGAATGTTCACGTCACACAGTCTTCGTGGAAGGATACTCAATCGAGCGCTGCATCATCAACACGAGCGTATCTATAACTTTGACAAGACCACCCTCAATGGACAGTTTCCTTCCCCCTGTATCGAGCTCACGCAGAAGTTTCTTGAATTTGTGCACTACGCTCAGGGCGGGAGGATCTTTACATATGTCATCACCCTAGACGGGCAATTCCGCTTCACAGAAACAGGCAAGGAATTCGGGATTGATTTGCTGAGTAAACACACAATGCATAGTGATGTATCGATATATATCGCATACTCTGGTGAGTTCTTCTTGCGTCGCCTGAAGCATCGCCATCCCCGACACCCGGAAACAATCCAGCATTCAGAAACACGCTACTCCGGTGATGAGTCGTTGGTAGAGCCGGAGATATCAATTGATCCGGCCGACTATGAACTTTTCATCGACAATGATAGCGGAACTTATCGTCCCAATGGCCAATACCTACCCTTGTTGAAACAGTTCATCTCCGCCAATCTACCAGGTCTTCACGTCACCACACTTGATTGCAAGGAGGATGCAGAGCGGATGGCGGCTCTGAAAAATGAGCAGAGAGAATTTAAGAAGAACGAGGGCAATCATATGATTTTCCTCCAGCGCAGCAATAGCTCTTCGCTTTCCATATCCAGCTCGGATGAAGACGAGCTGAATGAGCGCAGTGATTTGCAGCCTCATAAAAAGGATGGCTTTGCGCAAAAGGTACACGATATGCGAGACATGAAGGGTCAAATGATGAAATGGGCCCAGTCAGACAATCATGGTAGTCCAGATGATACTGAAAGTCGGTCCGGGCGCCAAAGGACCGCGGCAGCGCACAGCTCAGGAACATCAAAACCCGCCGTGGAGAACGGCGTGGATGAAAGCACAGCCACTTTCGCTGCTGACGGCCGAATTTAGCTTCCATACACGCTCAGTTTGGGCTTTTGAGGCGTCTATGAATCCTACCCTGTCGTACCTACATTACCAACTTACCTACAACCTCAGGGAGTTCACCCCACCTCATGTGGTGAAAGAACCCGTCCTAATGTGCCTCCATGAATGACCTTACGTTTTTCCTTTTTCATCTTTTATTCCATGACCGTTACTCCATTCCGAATATCATTACTGACGATATCTTGTAATACGCCTTGTACGGCTGGTTCTGTGTTGATAGGCCGAGGAAAATTGCCGGTTATCATTCATTCAGTATGAAATAATGCTAATGAGGGGGTCTCCATGCCTATTCTTCGTTCTTGGAATTTTTATTTTTTTGTAACTCTCATCACTGCCTGTATTAGCCATCAAAGCTACTACTAAGCAGGGAGGGTTGTGATAGATTCGTGGCGCGGCCCAATAGTAGGGAGCGACGATATAGCACGCGGATGAGAGCTGGACGGATAAGCTTCTATGATGGTGGGTATCATGGACCAAGTTGCGTTTGGTAGAAAAGGTTAAGAGATCACGAGTCAGATCAACACACCCCCACAGTTGGGGAAAGGAACACGAGCCAATCTCGGCCCCAGTGCATGGTCCCTCTATCTGTCTACTGCTAGTATTCTGCACAGAATACATGTAGTTGTGAGGTATCAGATGGGTAACCCCGCGGATGTATGTAGGATAATTAAAGTTGTATTTACATGGTATTTATCATCTCTCACAGAAAAGAACAAGGGGGGGGGAAAAACAATGTCACCCATCAAACTCGGGGCATGTCACAGTTATGTGGTATAGTGCATGCAGTAAGTAAGTTACGAGATCTCCCTTTCTTTTATTTTTCTTGTGTTTGGCAGTGTAGAATAGAAAGAAGTCCGGATCGGATCAATGATGTTACATACACGCATTTTTCAGTCATACATACATACACACAGACACGCATACATACATACATACCTCAGGCTTTCCAGCCCCGATTTTCAGGCCCCCCTCCCACCTACCAAGTACCAACTACTTTACTACTAGTTATCTCCTCTCCTCTTCTCTCCAGCCCGCCTGTTTCATCCGTCTTACATACACTAAAAAAACAAGTGAACTAACCAACCAAAGTCTACAAGTCAGAACTACTGCTTCCCTCCCGCTCCTACTAATAATAATGTTGCCCATCTATTTTACTGCGATGCCGCAATAACTTGACTGTACACGTCGTCGCTTTCACTCCTTCATTCTTCTGCTCTTCTTCCATCAATCTCGACATAATTCAGTTCCATCCAATCCCTAATAGTAATTTTAGTATTCTACTATCAGTACTTAGACTACTACCTGCTGAGGGATAATTACCGCCAACGAGACTTTCCCCCCCCCCGTTCCTGCCCCCGCTTGTCGCCCTTATTGATTTCCGCCCGCGACCACCTGATACTCCTCCTGACTCCCGCATATTATTATCCCTCTGAATCTCCTTCCCGACCCTCTTCGCGCTCCAATCTACGACCAAACGCTTGACTACGACCTCCCTGGCGATCGCATTTGTGCCTGGATGACGACCAGTACTCTACTGAGTGGTCCCATTTCCCGCCGCATTCTCGTCAGGCCGCCCTCTGATCCGACTACGGGCACGCTGACTGTCGATGGTGACCTTCAACTGCCCCGGTCACGTCTCTGACCTCTCTCCTGCGTGGTAATTCGATCTCCATACCAAAGGCCCCGCAACTTCACCATGGGCAATGTTGGAAGCCGCTTAGATGACTCTGGGAACTTGTACTTCAAGGATCAGACAAGGTGTAAGTTTCTGCCCACGCGGCGCTGGTGCCAAATGCTCGCGCCCTTGATGGTCCCTATTCTTGTCCTTGTCCTTGCCCTTGTCTCCTTCTCTTTCGTTGTTAACCCGATCCATGCCTACTAGTCACAATCGCTTCCGTGACCATAACGAATAGCAAACGGCGCGTGCTTTTAAGCCTTGTACCGAACTCCTTCCCCGCGACGAGATATGCTGCCAAGCGTGAGACCGGCGACGACAGCCCAATAGAATATATACAGGTAATCAGCTGAATTTCTCCTGAGACCGTTGCCATTACAGGCGCAACCTGTCATGCCCTTCCAGAAGCTAACCACTGCTCTCGTCGACCATTATCAGGATCCCGATGTTTCGCCGTCTGCCCCTGTGCCCACCTTCCTTCTGCGATTGAACAACGAAGACGAGTTGAATTTCAATTTCACATTTATATTGAGACAGACACAAACGGGGACCGCTGCGAATTCGACCGTCAATGGTGTCTCAACATCATTGCCCGAGGTCGCTGACACGGTGCTCACAGGCCTTACGTTTGCGCATGCGCCCAACTCAAGGGAATTAGACAACTTGATCACCAGAGAATTCCATGCCAACCCCAACTTGCAAAATAACTCCAATGTACAGCTAGTCGGAGACTACTCCACCGCAGGTAGTCCCTCGGTTCAGTTCGACTGGTCCTGGAAATGGAAACCCCCCAAAGTGGTCGAAGATAAGGGGGGTGGTTGGAGAAATAGCTGCAGCTTTCTGGATTATGATCAAAGGGCGAACCGGTTGAATACCCTTGCTCACTTCTCATTTTGGGTGCATAATACAGTGCGCTCGCTTCCAAGCCCACAAGTTTCTTCCCCAAATCTGGAAGTCAATGTTCCTTTCCGCAATCGCATTCCCTCGTCGCAGTCCGTCCTTTCCCATTCTAGCGATGCGGACGCCGCATCCAATTCCCAGAATGTCCCTGTTACACCCCCGGAAGCTGGTGATACAACAGCCACACTGCCCCACGTCTCAGCACCGCCTCCACCTGTCAAAGTCGACCTTCCTCATTCGCGTCCCGGAGAGGACATGAGTGTGGTTGAGGATGGTCCGTTATTCCGGGCTACTATGAAAGCTCTGGAACAGAAGACAGGGAATATGCGTGCTAAGATAAAGAAGGTCCTCAAGAAAGCTGAAGCCGCTCAGCAGGCACAGACTGCCTGCAACGAAGCCGTGGAAGCCTTCCTTAACGCATTAAAGGAAGCCTCAACCTCCAACGCGAACGCCATACAGCCCGCCCTTGATCATTACTTTGAAAGGACTGCAGTTCAAATATTGAATTACGAGCGTTTGAATACCATCCAGCTCCAGAGGCTCGTCATAGAACCATTGGTTAAGCTATACAACAATGACATTAAACAGGCGGAGGCGAAGAAGAAGGAATTCGAGGAAGAGAGCAGGGATTACTACGCCTATGTTAGCCGCTATCTCGGTCAACGCCAGGATTCGTTGAAGGAAAAGAAGCGGGTGGAAAGTGATTCAAAGTATCAGGCAAAGCGACGCAACTTCGAGTTGAAGCGCTTCGACTACTCGTCCTTCATGCAGGATCTCCATGGTGGCCGTAAGGAGCAAGAGGTTCTTTCCCATCTTACCAAATATGCAGACACCCAAGCGAAGAGTTTTCTGGCAGCCGCCAAACAGGTTGATGATATGGTTCCTCAGCTGGATGCACTTATCCATGAGGTGAACCAAGCGGATAAAGAATTCCAGTTCCAGCGGACAGAAAGGGAAGAAAAGCGAAGGAATCTGGAGAAAAGCAGCAACATGTACATCGAGCCTGACTCTCTGGCCAATGCGGGTGCATCATCGGTACATTCAGGAAATGGTGGCGGCAACCCAAAGTCTGAGAACGAGCTCGGACGTGCAGATAGCACAGGATCCCAACTGCGAGGTGTCATCAGCAACAGTTCTTCGATTTTGCCGCAGACCAACTCTGGCAGCCATTCAGGCGGTCCCTCGATGCTCGCTTCTACCAGTAGTTCAACCGGTATGTACCCTATGGAGTCTTTCTGGGGAGTGTACATTCTTCATCTCAAGTTATATATTAGCCTTATCACTAACCGGTATCGTCACAGGCCAGCAGAGGAAGGAAGGCTTACTCTGGGCACTGTCGCGCCCAGGATCTCATATTGACCCTAAGGGAATAAACAAGCAGGCTTGGCATAAGTAAGCTTGTCCTCTGCTCTGACAGACTCAGGCTTCGAAACTGATCTTTGTCTCGCAGATTCTGGATCGTTTTAGATCAGGGAAAGCTCTCGGAGTATAGCAATTGGAAACAGAAACTGGACTTGCACATGGATCCTATCGACTTGCGAATGGCTTCCGTGCGAGAAGCTCGGAATGCGGAACGCCGATTCTGTTTCGAGGTTATCACACCACAGTACAAGCGCATCTATCAGGCAACATCAGAGGAAGACATGGCCAACTGGATTCGAGCTATCAATAATGCTCTGCAGAGCGCCGTTGAGGGCCGCGGCATGTCTCCGCCCCCAGTCTCGTCCGGCAATGACAACGCGTCCATTGGCCGCGATATTGGCTCAGTGCTAACCGGGAAGAGTACTTCGTACACTGTTCAACACTCCCAGTCAACAGGGTCCAACAACAGTGTCACCCGTCGTACAACTGTGGGTGCAAGACCAAGCTACGTACGCGGTGACGGTCTCGGTTTCGAGGAAAATCCTTCAAAACTGCTTCAAACCATCCGAGACGCAGATCAGGGTAACAATTGGTGTGCAGACTGCGGGTCTACATCCAAGGTTGAATGGGTCTCAATCAATCTGGGGATTGTCCTCTGCATCGAATGCAGTGGTATCCACCGGTCACTCGGAACACACATCTCTAAGATACGTTCGCTTACACTGGACGTCAACTCCTTTTCGAATGACATCGTTGAAATCCTGTTGCAGATTGGCAACCGTGTCAGCAATATGATTTGGGAAGCAACCCTCGATCAGGCTCAAAAGCCGGTGGCGGCTTCTACTCGTGAGCAGCGGCTGAAGTTTATCACTGCCAAATACAGTGAACGGGCATTTGTTCAGCCACTTCCTTCCCCCTTGTCGCGGTTTACCACCTCAGACGAGACTCTTCTGGCTGCGATCAAAAGAAATGACATTCAGGGCGTGCTATATGGCATTGCCCTTCGTGCCAATGTGAACATTACAGATCGCTCTCGCAGCACGCATGCCATTTTTCTTGCATTAGCCGCAGCAGATCCAGCATCACCTGGTGCGGCCTCAAACCTCTCCGTCAAACCCAGCGGGGCACCTACAGTGAAAGCGATCCCATTCCCTATCGCAGAGCTGCTGGTCCAGAACGGGGCCGAGATTCCCTCGCAACCGCCTCCCATCCCTCTTTCATCGGCCGCTCAGTTATATCTGAGCCAAAGAACCGCCAGAGTATCTGCTTTTGGCACACCTCCGGCTGCTCCATCACCTGGGAAAGCTACATCCGATTCTCTCGGTTCAGGACCTGCAATTCGGGGCGCAGGGAATGACCATGTCATTCCAACAACTCAAGCGCCGAGCTCCATAGACAGCAAGGAGCGTGAGAAACTACAGAAAAGGGGCAGCGCCGGGGCCAGGTTTGCTGGAAAGGTTGCCTCCCTGGGAATTGACCGCTAGCAAGTCCTCGCCGTGAGTGCTATTTTTTTTTTTTTAAGAGCCCTTTTTCCCAGACATGTTGGTGGGACTATTCCTTAATAGTAATTATAACGAAGCTCAAGTAGACACGACGTGATGTTGAAGCTCTTGTTTGAGACGTTTGCAGTCTGCATAGCTGCCGGCGGAACAATATGCTTCTGTCGGTATGCAACAATATACGCTTAGTCTTTTTGTCTCTTTCTGTTGATATTTTCTCCCTGACACATGGGGAGCACCCCCGGTCTTACTTCCTTTTGCCACCACCACAATCCACCGTGTTTCACCCCCATCGTCTTCTCTACCTTGCCCCTGTTTTCCTTCTACCCAACCTTCATTTTGCAAGGTGGTCATTTCACCTTTTGTCAGCTGATGTCACCTGTTTATCTTCGGAAGTGCTACGTAAACTCGAGCAAGATCCGGCTGGTCCGGCATCGTACGCTTGTGTTCGAGCTTTTCACCCACCTAGACCCAGAACCTGTTCTGCTATGCTGATACTAATGAACATTCATGTCGTATATGAGCTTCTAGACACTCCTGCAGACTATACACCTGATTAGCCAATATCCTATCCCCGTCAGGCCTGTAGAAAAAGTTCGCAGCGCGCCTGTCATAGACTATGGCTCGTAGGTAACTTAAAATGAACCCTCCCAGAGAAAGCTAGATCCAGAGCAGTCGTCTCGCCTCGCAAAAATCTCACACATAGGGTGGACTGCGCCACGCGGTCATAATCCTTTGAAATATGGCGGAATGGAGCTCGCCCTTTTGGATGTGAAGAAGGTCGGGAGGCCGAATCCAACGCCATCGAGAGAATGAAGTGGCACAGAAACACGGCAAGATGGTGGAACACGGTGAGCAGAAGCATTATGCGACGTAGAAAGAAGGCTAAGACATCGGCTGAGCAGGAACCTATCGTAGCATGACCACCCACAGTAGTAGTGGAGCCCTGGCCCATGGGAGAAAGCTGCGCACGCGAATCCATTGTAAGGGAATTCTGATTGAACAGGGGGTGGAAATCAGCTGGCGCAGCCTCTGCAATGTGCTTTTGCCACCGTAGTTGACCTGTGTCCTTCGGTGTGACTGGTATCCGACAGGATGAGGATGATCCTCCTGCCTGGCGGTCCTGGCGGATGAAGGGACACATGCCGCCGCCGAGCCGAGTTGATAAGCGCGCATGATGTCGGCGACAGGCATCACTATCTAATCCCCCTCGTGCGAATTACAGAGCCACCGACGCCCCCATTGGACGATCGCAGTAGCTCTACACAAGCCACCGCAGCGCCTAATACCTCAAAGGGGATGAGCTGGCGAGATGGCGTTTCCCGTTTGTGGAGACGAGCCTGGGACTTCGTGCTATGGAGTGGTGCAGGCAGATACTAACGAAATTTAGAGACAGCATCCATGCTAGTTATTAGTGGCAGGGTCGGCGCTGGACCTGAGTGTGCTGTGTACCGTAGTCAGACCTCCCCACCTAAAACTCGGATCGGATGCGGTCATGCATAGCTATTCAGGGCCATGTATATTGAATTTTAGTCGGCCGATGATGAAATCGATGAGCGGATCGTTCGTCCCGCGGTAAGATTGTCCAGCGATTTTCCCGGTACCAATTGGTGGGTTATTCATAGTCAGGCAGAGGTACCGACGCCGTGGCTGTAGGGATCCCACATCCATTTTCTCATTTTCCGAATGCTCGAATCAACAAAGGCCGTAGAGGAGGGGGTACGAGAAGGCTGGAGGATGCGAGGTGTTCGCGGCCCCATTCAAGAGCATTCGATGACGTCATATCCATTTGCTTTCGGCGTGGCGTTCGAGAGGGCAGCCGCGGTGGAAAGAAACGGACGATCGCGGTCAATCTTTTCCTTCGATGAGATTCCAAACCCCCTCACCTGGTCGGGAATGATCTTGAGATCCAATTTGGGGCGAAGACAAAAATAATGAATTGAAGTGGAGGGGGGAAGCTTGCTTGGATGGTCTGTGGTTTGCAAGCCCGGGGGGGGGGGGGGGGAAGCAGGAGAAGAGCTCCTTTGTGGTGTGTGCTTTGAATAATGCATTCAAGTCAGTCTACGCGCACACACACTCTCTCTCACACTCACACACACACACACAGCACACACATCCATTACCCACTTGGCTAGTCCCATGTCAATCCCCGCCATGATGGAGTTGGTTTCCACCTGTCTGTCTCCTCTTGGGTGGCAAATTCCATTCCACTTCCCCCCCCCCTTTCTGTGAGAGAGATTGATCGATCATGCCATACGGTGTACCTGATGTGCATGAATCACTCATTGTTGAGACCACTGTATACCTATCGCATCATCCACCACCCCTACTTCCATAGTAAGGTACCAGGCACGGTCGACAGAATGGGGCTTCACCGAGATTGGATGGGTCCGTGCTAATGCAACAGGAGTTAGTTCATAGCTCGAAATTGGCCTGCAATGGGCCGAATGGTTCCATCTTTTTGGTGATTTATGGCAGTGATAGTCGTGACAGTTCACAACTTCGTACAGCGGGAACAGAACGATAGCCGAGACGGATGAAGAATCCGCATATTCTAAGTGGGTGCAGACCCTGTGCTGTGTATCTCAAACATTTCTCCAACAGACTGATCAGATACCAAGAATGGTGAAAGGCAAGAGGGGCTTTCAATCCTGGGTGGGTGCATTACCTGGCTGGAGCTATGCATGATGGCCTCTGCAAAGCTGGCCGGAGAAGCATGCTTAGTGATTACACAGCCTTAGGTGAACGAGCCAATGGCTCGGTGAAGGGTGACACGGTGTGAAACCCATCGTTAAGATCATATCGACTGGTTTCCCTTTTGTCCGTCTTGTTTCTTTTCGGGAGGCTCGAGGCAAATTGTGGTAGAAAGGTAAGTAGAGGCTGCTGCTGATTCGCCATGGTTGAAGCTTTGAGGCTGTTGGGGAGGTTCTGGAACGATCGATTCTCGGGAATCTCTCCCACATCAGAAAAGGGCGTCAACAGTTTATTGATGCCATGGAATTCTGGCTGGAAATTTTCTGGCGAAGAGATTGTGTGGTTACCAATTGGAACTGAAGCATCATCTCTACTAGACAGTGAGTATTGTATACTAGGACATTAAGCGTACGTATCTACTAGTGGTACGTGTTGGAGTACTTACTTACTACTTACCCAGTCTGGCTGGGGGTTTCTAGTCGTATCTAAACCGGTAACCACGCGAATAGTATTGTGTACACTGATTCCCCTGCTCGCTGATATCTATTGTCTCAATACCGAAGTATAGGTACATAATAGATGTATTCAAATGCTAACATTCAGCGACTAAGAGAGAATTTGAGCATTTGGGCACCATTCAGGCATCCTAACAAGGCCATGAGAGCAGTACTCTTGTCACGCATCACACAGTAGCTTTGTGTCGACTGACATCCCAGACCACCTATAGAATATATCATTATGAAAGAGTCACTTTGGCACACTCCTCTGGTATTGATACTGATGGATATAAAGGTAGCCTATACAGAAGATCGTCCCTTTCCTTGGAATTCTCCTTGCATCTCAGAAAAGGTTCCCGGTCGGAGCTTGGATTGAAGGACACGCCATGTACCAAAAGGCATGAAAGTACCCAACAAGGCCAAAGGGGCCTTCAGAGAAGCCTTGCTGTCTTTCTCCAACTCTACCACTTATAATGAGACAGTTTCAACGACTTCAACGAATTCAGGTCTCAAGTCGCAAAAGACAGCGCGATCTCCACTTCAACAAAACTGCCGCTTAGCGTGACCTTAGGAGCACCGTCGTCAGCAGCCTCCTGCAGCTATCATTGGTTCTGCGCCGGACTTCTGCACCCTAGCAAACTCGTCCATTTTCCCATCCTGGGTTTGATCATTGGGGTCTTTATCTACTAGTTGTGGTTGTTTGACTCATACAACCGTTCGGGATCAACCCCCGAAAAGTGAAAAAGTCAAAATAAAATAATTCAATAAAATAACGACAGTGGCCCCAGCAGAAGACGCGCCTGGGGCTAGAAGGAGAAGAGAAGTGGAAAGGAAAAAAAAAAAAAAAAATATTGAAAGAAAGAGAGCTCGGAAAAGTATTGATAGTGGGGGGGGTTTTGCCATGGTGCTGACCGCGACATATGCTACGAAGGACCCAGCCACGCTGCTGGTGGCGGCTCGGATTGGACCAAGGGGTTTCCGGAAAAGGATGATATGAAGTTGAAGTGGTGTTGCATTGATTGGCTGGTATCCCATCCGGTCCCCCAAATCAGGTGTGGAGCCTTCCGAAGCACTGCTAGTACGAAATACTCCGGTACATGCGGTGCCACAAATTTCCAGATACCAAATAGGCAATAGACAGTGTTTCAAAGGATGGGGCTGGATTCAGGAACGGGTAAAAGGATGGCTATCAGCAGAGAAGAAGCGAATAATAGTAAAAAAAACAGGAACCAAGACACAAGAAGGGGGTGGAGGTGGGAAAGAATGGATCAAGGGAGATCAGAAGCTCCAGGCGACGGAAGAATGAACCGACGAGGAGCAGCCGGTGAAAGCGAAACAGGCTAATATATATAAAGTATAACCAGTTCAGCGGGAGAACCAAATGTTAAGGTCCTTGGTCCTAGTACCACAGATTGAGCGGATTTCAAATCTTGGTACGTACTAGAAGTGCAATATTCCCATGCAGACGATAAAAGTACTACAGTAGCTAATCTTGGAGACCCGGGAGGACAATATGAGTACTGAATGTATTGCATAGAGGGGCAACAGTGCCGGATTTTTCACTACTACTTTGAGAGGCCACTTATATTGGATCCGTATCCTCTACACAGCACTAGTGGCTGTTGTTCTAATTTCCTCTGTTTGAGTAAGTAGGGAAAAAAGAAAAAAGAAAAAGAAGGACTTTCATAGTTTAACATGTACTACTTTAGAGGACCAAAGCTACTTCATTTTGTGGTTACGATGCAGGCAGAAGAATTCTGCAGGATGATCGCATCCCCATAGAGGCTTTCATAACCTACAGGGCCTACAGCCACAACCAAAAGAAAAAGGGGGGAGGGATGGGCTGCATACGTGCCACAACTCCCGCAGAAAGCCGAGCAGCAGGAGTGGTTGTTTCGACGCTGTATACAGTAGTAGGTAGGAGGTAATGCTCACTGGGCGGGATGGAGATCGGGCCCTAGTGGGAATGTAGTACCCTTGCCTGGTCAGGTGGCAGACTATTTTGTACTAAGGTTAGCTTTCGCCATCACCATCCTTTAATTATTATTACTATTACAATGAGTCCGTCATTATATACTATTCTTTGAAGGTACTAAAAGGGGGAAAAAAGAAAAAGAAGAAGAAGGAAATAAAGTCCATGAAGACAAACGCCGATTTCTTCTACTTCTTTTTTCTTTTTCTTTTTCTTTTTCTTTTTTTTTTTTTTTTTTTCCTCTCTTCACAGTAACCCCAACCCCCCAATCCCAACTTTTGCCTCCACAATCGCTCCCCGTTGTTCTCTTTTCCTTCCTATCAGCTTTCAGAATGACTAGTTATGAGGTGAACCGATCCTTGATCCCGCATAACAATAAGCCATGGACCATGACGGGATTTGGGTGACCCATCCCGAACAACGTCTGGAGCTTGACAATCACGGTACGCAGTATCACCAATGCCTTGTTCTTATTTCCCCACCACCTCCAGTCTATTTCGTCTTAGGGCTGGCCGTGGCTTAAGTTTCTCTCTTACTATTCTTCCACGCCCCCCTCCCCGAACACAGCAGAGCAACAAATCTGAAGAAGTGTGTATGCACACGGGCCAGTGGTTTTTGTTTCCTTTTACCTTTTCTTTTATTCCCTTTTTCTTTTTCTTTTTCTTTTTCTTTTTCTTTTTCTTTTTCTTTTTCTTTTTCTTTTTTTTTTTTTTTTCTTTTCATACGGTTTTCTTTCCCTCCCCCAACTGCACACCCCTCCCTGTCCTCCTCCCCACTTCTTTCCCCTTTTCAATTGCATGTCGCTTTCCCGAACGGTCTTCCCCCGAAACTCATCTGGTCTTTTCTCCATTCACGTTCTGTTTCCCTCTATCTATTATTATCTTTCGTTATTGCCATCTTCTCTTTTCGGTAAATGTTTCAAGGAAGACCTGCAAAAATATCTACCTAGCTTTTCTGGAATCTGCAATCGCCACACACTTCGGTCCAGTTTCTCTTCCTTATGATGTTGATTGTTAATGCATCTCAAGTTCTTAAACGCTACCTAGATCCTCCGATCATCCAATAAGAAACCCCGATTCTTCAGCTTACTACTAGTACTAAGTACGTCGTTTTAGTGACCGCCGTCGACACAGACCTAAGGGCAGCTGTAACCACGGAGCAAAAAGAGAAGAAAAGCAAACAAAATTAAAAAAGACACATGCTGGCGAGTGGTGTCGCGCTGTAGATCAATTCTTTTCTGGAGCTATAAATCTCCTGCAGCTGTCAATCCCGATGGTCACTGCCACGCATGCACCTCGGGCTAAGGCCCATCAAACGCTCGGAACCAGTACATGCAGGACCCTCTCGAATTTGCCACCTTCCAGCAGTGTCATTTACTACTACAACATTACCTACTACTAACTCATACCACCAAAGCGGGTTGGCTGCGCTCCTTTGGGTCCTCGCAATATCACTGGCAATCCCTTTTTTAAACTGTCAGAGGAAGATCCATGGATTCCACCGGCTGGGGACAGAATCCCGGTACCCAATCATGGCCTCCCTCAAAAGCCATCGATGCCATCGAGACCGTCCATTTCACCCTCTTGCCAAATGACCTTTTGACTTAACCCAAGTAACCCTAAGCACGACGCAGTCCCCATTTCTCAATGAATGTGGCTGTTTCGTCGTTTTTTTTTTGGGGAGGGGGGGACATGCCACCTTTCCGGGCCTTCTTCCTGAAGTGAGCCACTTTCCCGCTCAGTGTGATTGGAGTATACTCTCTTTCTCTCTCCATCTTGTTCATCTTATTCCTTTCTTTTCCTTTTCCTTATATTTTTTCTTTTTGCCCATGTGGATGCTCTCCTCTCCATTCCCATAATTGTCTGTTTTATTCTATTTTCGTCTATTGATTCCCCTATCACTACGATTACTGCCATTACTACAATTGTTATCATTGTTGTTGTTGTTGTTATTATGATTATTACTATTATTATTATTTCTTGTGGTTGTGGTCGTGGTATTGATTTTCCCCGTCCTATCTTTCCCTGTGCTTCCAACCCCTGTTTTTCCATTGTACCTTTTTCATCCTCAACCTTCCCCTAGACTCTTGTCTTCCCTTGTGCATCCAGAATCATCTTGGAAAATCGCGAAAAAAAAAAAAAAAAGAGAAATAAAATAGGTCGAGAGGGCCTCTTCTTCTGGTGGCCAGTTGACTTCATCGGCGCCTTTTTCGCTACCTCTCTTCCCTCCGGATCCCCGGTACGAGCAAACCACATTTTTGTTCTTGCCTGTGTCTGGGTGAAATTTCCGGGAAAAGATCGGGATCGAGCTTGTTGTCGATCGTGTGTGGTAGTTGATTGGGCCTCTGCATGGGAAAAGAACTAAAAGCGTTGAAGCAAGGCCCGATCCGCATCGCAGCCCCGATTTTAAAACTGTGGATATCCTCTAGGCTGGAGGGAGCCACAGCCACAAAGGGGGGAAGAAAGAAAAGAGAGAGAAGGGCGGAGGAAGGCAGAGAGACAGGAGTCCAGATCATTGGGCTTTCACGGTCTCACGATCCTCTGTGCGCCACCACCGGCCAGTCACCAATATAGACTTGGCTTGGGTTCTGACGAACACGTCCCTAGGGGGGCCCATTATTGCCCTCATTTCCGTTCCGATAGTCTTCTTTACCCACCTGGCTGTGAAGGACCTGCCCTTCCGAGCTCTGACGGTCAGAAGATCCGTTGGACTACTTGGGCTCTGCTGACCTGGTTGGTCTGAAGGGCCCTCCTTCTCCATAGTCTCCGCTTCAGGCCTGGCTACGGTGCGTCTACACAAGGATTATTCATTATTATCGTGATTATTTCTCCCGTCACCGACATCAAAGCCACCAACTGTTGATTGCAGGGTGCTCCTCTTTCTGTTATCATCGTGGGGGGCACGGTCTTTCTGTCATCGCTCTCCCTGCCTGTTCACATCCTAAGGTATGTTTGGCGATAGTCGTCTTTATCTGTCCCCCTCCTCTTCCGTTTCTTTTTCCTTTCCTTCGGTTGCGATCCCACAGGACTGTTTGGTGTTTCATTTCCCTTCACCCTTCACTTTGCAAGTTCACCCACCCACCCCCCTGGCTCAACGCCCATGGGGGAGAACACACCCTTTCGCAATTAATTGCCTTCCCCTACCAATCCCTGGATAATCCACCTCAACAGTCACAAATGTCTGCCAATTTTCCCATACCTTTGAAACTGCCAGGGGGAAGGAGAACGCGGCTTCTGTGGTGGTTGCCACAGGCGCTCGAGGGACAGACACCCTTTTACCTTCAATTTGCAGTGACCCATCGTCTTTTGGCGTGATTAAGGGCCACTACGGCACAGTGCTTGTGCCCTACGTCCCTCTTCGCCGCGACGCTCGTTTTCTGGTCTCTGTGGCGTAAAAGAGCCTGGAAGTTGCTGCTATATACCATCTGATTTCCCCTCGTGCATCTTTCTATACTGTCTTATTTTTGCCCTGGCCTATGGATATTATTTCCTGGTCGTGGTTCTGCACCGTGCCTCTGTGCGCGTAGCCGCCTATGCCCCTCCCTTTTTTTTTATGCCTCTGATACCCAATTGTCCCGTTTATAATCCTTTCCACGCTTGATTTGTTCTCCACCCTTTTTTCTTAAGGCAGCGCGGCGATTCGTGCGTGCATCTTTCACTGAGTGGCCCCGTGTCTTCGTTCGCCCAGTCCTACAACTGCACTGTTTGCCCCCAAAAAGAACCCGACGATTTAGCACTCAGATGTCAGGCGGACCTTCCCTTGTGTTTTGGTGTGCTCGCTCAACCTCTTATATTCGTCTAAGTGTTTCTCTTCTTCACTCTACATATTCTCTCTGGCCTACATCACTTTGTTCTATTGGTTCATGTGTAGATTCCGCGTTCTTCTTTCTCACGTTCTTGCTTGTACAAGTCAGTAATCCCACTCGTCCATGCCCTCTTACGCGACCCAGTTGTCGGGGACCTTTCCACCCTCTTATTGATCCTTCTTGTTGTTTGTGGCTTTTTCTCCCCCCTCTTACTTCTTCGTCTTCTTCTTTTTCTTCTTGTCTCTTCTTACCGCAGCTCAGGCTATCAGTCTTCCTCGCTTGTGGGCATTTGCATTCATCGTCCCTTTACTTTGCAAAGCACACCGTCTGAACTTTTTGTGGAAGTAATCAATCTTTAAGACACCGTCAAGGTTCTAACCAGTGTTTGCATATCCTAGGCACATCACTTGGCTCCCCAGCGAAATTATTGCCCGCAAAATTTAGAGCGTACTTGAACCCACAGGTTGGGGCAAGGTAAGTTGTTGCACCAGTCCCCTCGCCAGCCCCCCCCAGGCTTCCGAACCCCCCAGGTATATTTAAGATGATTCAACTAATCATGTGGAAGAGTGTGCCTGTGCTGGGTTTATCGTTTGTTTGTGTCTATCATGACATATCCCAATGGTGACGCTCCTTCGGCTCTCTCGAACTCAACGCAGGGGGGTCCGAACGGAGCCAAACCACAGGCCTTCAATAAGTCGCATGAAGTAGAGGAGCCTCCTCCACAATCAGGTATGTTTCCTACCTGGGATAATTGCTCTGTGGGATCTTTGGTAGAACTGAATTATGGCTCAGTGTCGACAATCACCACTTCCCGCGAAGCTCCTCGATCGGATAATGACCAACAATATCCCAAATCACAGGCCCAGATGGCACAGGCCGCACGGGGAGGGGCGCCTTCTCTTAGCATGCGGGACATGAGATCCGCATTGCCTGGGTATCAGAGCCATTCCATCTTATATGAGCAGCATCATATTCAGCAGCCCTTTGTTCCGACAGCTCACCCTCACGGCGTTGTATATGCAATGCAACCATTGCCGTCATTTACTGGGCCTCCAATGAATCCTAATATGGCCTTCAACGGTCCCTTCAATCAGGTATACACGCCTTATCTTCAGCAGCAACCCGAGGACCCTCTTCTGCCTCCCGGTGCGGCGGGTTACCAGTCTTTGGGGCCCCATTCAGCCGCTCACATGAATGTCCATATACCTGGCCAATCTGGATACGGTCCAAACTATTACACCCAGACCACATACACAGCAGCCCTTGGACACGGCCCGGGTCCTCCGACTACATCATCTCCAGTGCAACTGCAGCCACGCGTTCAGCCTCGGAACACATTGGGTCCAAAAACCAAATTGACACCCGGCTTGGGGAAAGAAAATAAGCAACGGCGTCTGGATCTGGAATATGACGTCTCCAAGACCATCGTGGACGGATCAACACCTATGAGGCCCCACCCCGTTCAAACATTTTCTGCTGGTAAGTCTGGGCCCGACCATGCGAGCAGCGAGTTATGTGTTTTTGACATGACTTCGGTATACCAGACTCAGGATCGCATTCATCTAATACCACTACGTCAAGTGCTCCAAGGGGACCGCCGCGAAAGCCAAAGCAATCTGGACATGCACTGTGGGTCGGCAATCTTCCTCCCGGTACCAATATTGTTGACCTGAAGGACTACTTTTCTCAGGACGCCACAAAGGAACTCGAGAGCGTCTTCCTCATCTCTAAGAGTAACTGCGCATTCATTAATTACAAAACGGAGGCCGCCTGTGCTGCAGCATTGTCAAGATTCAACGACTCTAGATTCCATGGAGCACGTCTTGTATGTCGGCTACGCCAAGGGGCTGTTTCGCTGGGTTCCAATACTGAATCTATGGGCTCTTCTACCCCTGCTATATATCAAGATGAAGAAACCAAGCCATCGGACGCTGTGACTGAGAAGAAGGCTACAGAAGGTAGCCTTTCGCACGCTCGGGTCCCTAGCAGATACTTTATAGTCAAAAGCCTAAGTGTTGATGACCTTGAAATCAGTCGACAGAACAATATCTGGGCCACTCAAACTCATAATGAGAAGCAGCTAAACGAGGCTTACGAGGTGAGCTCTGTGCCCCCACCAGATAACTCTTGTCGACAGGCGAGAATAATAGATCGCTGACCACTTAGCAGAATGCTGATGATGTCTATCTCATCTTTTCCGCCAATAAGTCAGGTGAATATTATGGATATGCCCGTATGATGTCGCCGATACAAGATGACGAGAACTTGGCTATGGAGATGCCCTCGCGACTGGACAACCCCCCTGATCCTGAGGCTCTAGACGTGACGCCCACTCCAGCAACATCCACTGCGCCTAACGGACGAATAATCAACGACAGTGCGCGGGGGACCATATTCTGGGAGGCGGAGACCTCAGAGGATGAGAGCGGTGCGAGCAAGGAGAAGGAGAAGGAGAAGGTTATCCACGAAAAGGCAGAAGAAGCTACAGATTTGGGGGCACAATTGATTGGGAAGCCGTTCAGAATTCGATGGCTTTCGACTACACGAGTTCCGTTTCATCGTACCAGAGGGTTGCGGAATCCCTGGAACTCAAATCGAGAAGTGAAGATCGCTCGCGACGGTACGGAGATCGAGCCGGAGGTGGGGTGGAAACTTTTGCAGTTATTCCACTCACAGCCTCAAGACTAGGACACACTGCATATCCTTCAGAAGAAAACATGAGAAGGAATGTGACCACCGCGAGGAAGACTTGAAGAAGCATAAGCGAAAAGACAAACGGCAGAGGGTGAAAAGAAGGGAGGAACAGATGGCTTGGGATGCTGAAAAACGAACCGTCCGGCGCCATACTGTTGCAGACTAAGTTGGTACTGCCCCGAGAGACCTTCCCATCCCACTGGGAGTGTGTCGAAAGCGGACATGCTTCACCTGGAGTATGTCTGCCTCTAGGGCCACACGCCCTCTGCTTCCCGGATAAGGAAACACACATCCTGAGGACTGGCCAAAGACCAGAGGTATACGAATAACTCCTCAATCACTGAGGCCAAGATAAGACAGTACACGTACCTTATCTACGCCATATCTATATAGAAAGCTATACTACATTAGAAGAAAAACAAAAACGGACATGGTCTGGGATATAAGCAAAAGACCAAAAGAAAAACAAAGAAAAAAAAAAAAAAAAAAAACGCCCACAGACTTGACACGTGGTATATGAGTATTGGCATGTTTTCTAGCTCGATATTAAAAGAGCACAGCTCCCAACACAGCTCTCATAAGCGCATAACAAGATCAATATATATATTTCAAATATGAGTTGCAGTTGTACTCGGTAGTGCTTCCGCAAAAGGATAGGTGAAAATCAATACCGTATCATCATACATAGTACGAATGTCTAATATGCATAGAGAATAATACCCGTACGTAACATACCGGGTTTATATGGTATATTTCTAAGAAACAACAGTACTATGTAAGGTATGTACTTTTGGAATACGATGCATACCAGACATGCCGCATCCTTCCTACCCTTGCCTACTTTGAGTAAATTCAACAACAGCCAATAGAGTACTTTTGTGACCGGAAAGAATACTCATGAGTGATACTGATAAAAGGTACTCACGGCTTCTCCTTCTCTTACTTCAATGTCAAGTTGTGAAGAGAACGAACCAGTGGTAAAAATTTAGGTCTAAATACTGGGTCTATACTTAGTTATGGATGGACGACTCATGAATCATCGACCCCGGATCGTCTTGTCTGGTTCACCGTTCAGCTGCACCCTGCCCAAGAAGGCTAGACCCGTTCTGGCCCACGGTCAAGAGTCAATCGAGGTGGTTTTGTGGGGTAAAACCTTCCCAAGCTTTCATTCCTTTCCTTGTGCTCTCTTGTTGTTGTTAAAGGCTCTCTCTCCCTCTCTCCCTTTTCCCCCTCCTCCCCCTTCTTTCCACTGGAATCGTCCCGTTCCTCCTCTTCTTCATCCCCTCCGCTCTACATTTCCAACCGTTCGTCAGGTTGTTCTTCCCAAGATCCCTGCCGGCTACGGCCTGGCTTTCTTCTTTTCTTCCCTTTTCTCCCTCTTCTTCACTTCTTCACGAGCCACGGCTACTTGAAAGCTTACTGACTTTACCACCCCTCTTCAAATCATTCCTTCACGAATCTTCCCCCTCCATCATCTTATTTTCAAAAAGGAAAACCAATACATATATTCCTCACTATTCTAGCTACTACCCACCTTACCACTACCATCATATAAATTTAAGGTATTGGGGGAGGGGCATTGGGTATTTGCATATTTCCAGTAAGTTGGCCTAGCCCATAAAAAACTGGTAGTGAATCCATCACTTGTTTCTCACTAGCACTGAGTCTGGACCCTCCCCCGTTTAACTTGCATCTTTCCTCCCTTGCGCAGTGTCCCATAGCACTCAAAACGCTGGTTTTTGGTTCTCCGTTCCTTTTGCTCCTAAGATATACCCTCAACCATTTCCACTGTATTATATTGCCACCGCCACATGGAAGGTCCCAAGTTTGGGTTCTTCGCTGAATATCTCCCCCCGACTGACATTTGCCGGTATCTTCCATCTAGGTTCTTAATG